ACATCTACTGGATGACAACGATCCAAAGGTAACACACAAGGCTCTCATGATCTGCACCGACGGTTCTAAAACCTCATCGGGCACGGGCGCGGGTGTTTTCTCTGAGGACCTCAACATACACATCGCGTTCCCCTTAAGCCCATACAACACAGTGTCCAAGCTGAATGTATGGGCATCACACTGGCCGCAACAGCGATCCTTTCAAGAAAGGTAACAGGTCAGGAAATACGAATACTGTCCGACAGTAAATCTGTCCTACAAGCTCTAGATGCCTGTTTAGTCAGATCGAGCCTCCTACAAGAATGCCACCAAACCTTAAACAAGGTAGGGTCAAACAATTCTATTACCATCCAAGGGACACAGTGGATCACGCGGAAACGACGCTGCGGATGAGCTGGCCCGGAAGGGATCTGATACGACCCCAACAGGTCCTGAACCAATCGTCCCAATACCGGTAAGCTGTCTCGTCAATAAAAACCGCGAGCACACTGCCGAACTACACCAGCAATACTGGCTGGACCTGGAGATGTGCAGGCAGACCAAGCTCGCTTTGCCACGGGTGAACGCTGCCTTCTCCAAAACTCTCCTACAGCTAAGCAAACCTACATTGCGCATGGTAACGGGTGCTATCACTGGACATGCACATTTTAACAGACATCTTTTCAACTTAGGTGTCACGGACAGCCCCCTATGCAGAGGATGCATGAAGGCAGAAGAAACAGTTACTCACGTTCTGCTGGAATGCAACGGAGTGGCCGAATACCGGTCGAAATACCTCGGCTCACCGGGAAACCTTCAAGAGGCAGTCACCAATGTGAAGGCCCTGGGGGCGTTCCTGGGGGAGCTGGGCTGGCTGGAATGATTCCGGCCATACACCCTCCTCACGCAAAACAGGCGCCATAAGGACGTCGAGTTGCGGAAACGCCCGTAGCAACAAGAAGAAGTATGTACATTTAAGGTATGTATGTATCTCCGTTTCTTTGGCACACCCTACAGCCAGAACGACATGACATGCGAGTTATCGAATTAAATTAAAAAAACTGTATTTTGAAACCCATCACTTTGATATGCCATTTTTCTAAAGTTGTTACATAAGTCCATTATGGCGTATGTACATCGCCAAAACGAAACATCTTAAAAAAATTGCATATAAGAGGAATTATTGGTTTTTTAGGCAAAATGAAATTGTTTTCACCATAAATCATTATTTTTACTTTTTAGAGTTTTTAAAATACAGTTTCTTTTATACAGGGTGGCCGGGGAGTTGACGTTCAAGCGTAAAATTTAGATACTTTATAATGAGGAGTATCCAAATCACCCCCATGTATGTTCTACTATTTTGCGTAGTTATAATTTTATTAATGATTTTTCTTCGTAATTTTCACCTAACATCAGTTTTCGATTTTTTCTCATTCTGTTGGACGTTTCTGGTTTAGTTTTTTAGAAAGGTTCGTAGTCTAGAATCTAGTCAATTAAAGAACAAAGGTAATTTAACAATCAGGACTAATTATTGTGAAAATTTAATTTATTCTAGAATATCTAATTGATCTTGACCACTGGATTTGATTTTTTTGCACTTTAGTTTAGTAGTAGTTTAAGTTTTTATCCAAAAATTTTACCGAGAAAGCGAATTTCACGTATGAACGAACGGGCGTGAGATGCATTCGAATTTTATTTCTTTTTTATTTAAAGAACAATAATGGCATCTGAACAAAGAGATGAATGACGTCATTAGCACTGGCCAGTACACAGACATATAACTAGTAGGGCCAGTATACTGGTATATATTACGGAATACATCCATAATCTTAGAGTGTATTCCGTAATATGTACCAGTAAACTGGCCAGTGCACTGACGTCATAAAATCGACGAAATATTAAAAATAGTGCAAATAAAGAAGATTTTTTTAGTCACCTCATCAATAGGCTAGTTGACCCTTTTTGGAAAAAGGTTTTAAATGGTTAATAAATGTTCTATTAGACCGAAAAAAAATGTATTGTATTTTTTTAAAACCTAGAAAGCTACAAATCTTTAATTTTAAAATAGACTTTTCATGGACATACAAAAACGCTGTCGGCCATTTTAGTCTATAGATTATCTATGCTATGACGTGAACTGTGGTAAACAAAAACTCGTAAACACGTAGAAAATTACTTTTAACTGAGTTTATAATATAAAAAAAACATGATTTCTAATAAATACCACGAAAAATAAAGTAATTATCATTACTGTATTGTACGAGAATATAAAAACACATCCTTGAAGACTCCAGGAAAGTTGTGGATTAAAGTGCTGAAAGAAATTAACCTACGCAACTTTATTACACTTATTCATATGTTTATTACTACATTTAATACTAAATGCACTATATTTACATAGATGCCTTGTCGTTTCTCTGCTCCGCAGAGCAGAAATCGACGTTTAGTGCAACAAATTCATCAACCATCAATGCGTCAATTCTTGGCAGATTTGTGCTTTCTGCTTTCACAAAGCCGGCATCCATAATTAGTTTTGTCAAAAAAAAACTAAGTTTACTGTTTTTTTCTTTCCTAAAGTTAAAAGTGTTTTAAGATAAATTTAGTCAGACGAAAGAATCAACCTACAGTAACACGCGAATGACATTTAGTTGTTTACCACAAGAGACGTCAAAATCATGGCGGATGTGGCGTTTTTAGTGTTTAAAAAATATAGACTAAAAAATATTTTTTTAAATTAAATTTCTACAGCAATCTTCTGCTTTTATGAAGTGAAATCGATATATTAAGGTTCCTTAGACTAAATACTTTAAGAAATAAACATTTATTTAATACAATTCGACATGAGTAAACTAGCCTATTAATAGGGATTCATTTTGTTCGGATGCCATTATTGTTCTTTAAATAAAAAAGAAATAAAATTCGAATGCATCTCACGCACGCTCGGTCAAAGTAAAAATATGGTAGCATATCAGTATAATATGGCGTCGGATTCGTGACGTCATTACCACTGGCCAGTATGCTGATGTATATTTCGGAATACACCCTTAGTAATCTGAGTTTCACTCACTTCATTCCAAATAGGCTAGTTTACTCATGTCAAATTGTATTAAATAAATGTTTATTTCTTAAAGTATTTAGTCTAAGGAACCTTAATATATCGATTTCACTTCATAAAAGCAGAAGATTGCTGTAGAAATTTAATTTAAAAAAATATTTTTTAGTCTATATTTTTTAAACACTAAAAACGCTGTTCGCCACATCCGCCATGATTTTGACGTCTCTTCTGGTAAACAACTAAATGTCATTCGCGTGTTACTGTAGGTGGATTCTTTCGTCTGACTAAATTTATCATAAAACACTTTTAACTTTAGGAAAGAAAAAAACAGTAAACTTAGTTTTTTTTGACAAAACTAATTATGGATGCCGGCTTTGTGAAAGCAGAAAGCACAAATCTGCCAAGAATTGACGCATTGATGGTTGGTGAATTTGTTGCACTTAACCCCGATTTCTGCTCTGCGGAGCAGAGAAACGACAAGGCATCTATGTAAGTACAGTGCATTTAGTATTACAATGTAGTAATAAACATAAAACTGATACAACATATGAATAAGTGTAATAAAGTTGCGTAGGTTAATTTCTTTCGGCACTTTAATCGACAACTTTCCTGGAGTCTTCAAGGATGTGTTTTTATATTCTCGTACAATACAGTAATGATAATTACTTTATTTTTCGTGGTATTTATTAGAAATCATGTTTTTGTTTATTATAAACTCAGTTAAAAGTAATTTTCTACGTGTTTACGAGTTTTTGTTTACGACAGTTCACGTCATAGCATAGAGAATCTATAGACTAAAATGGCCGACAGCGTTTTTGTATGTCCATGAAAAGTCTATTTTAAAATTAAAGATTTGTAGCTTTCTAGGTTTAAAAAAAATACAATACATTTTTTTTCGGTCTAATAGAACATTAATTAACCATTTAAAACCTTTTTCCAAAAAGGGTCAACTAGCCTATTTGGACATTATATAATACCTAGACTGCACGAAAAAAAATCGTTAATATAAAGTAAGATTTATATCTGTAGTAATAGGATAGCTATTATCTTGATAAGCGGTCGCTAGAAAAAACGGTCCTGAGTGAGAAAGCACCCAACGGGAGTGTGTCCCTTTCTAACGTCTTGCCAGCTCAATTTATCATTGGGTTTGGTAGAAATGGTAGAAAATGTCATCCTTTTCTATTTGTGATTTACTGATTAATTACCGATACGAATAATTCGTAAACTATGAAACGTATTGAAACATTTCTACAGTTCCTATAAATAATAAAATAATCATTGATATTTTTAAAATAAATCTAAATACAGAGTAAAAGTAGTATTTAAATGGTTCAGCCTGGCAATACTGAATGTAAGATGGTGGTTTGTTCACGTGATCGTTAAATTGATTTACCCGCTTTGATTTGAAATATTGTAAATTTGCTTATTAAAGTGTATTTTTTTTAAATGGTGAACTTGTGTTGTGTAACAGGGTGCTACACTAAATGTTATCCCGGTAGACCTTTTTCTTTTCACGGGTAAGTAAAACTTACAATCATATTCTTTAGGTGACCGATGAATTTTGGAGGTAGATGAGTTTTTTTTCTTAACATGAGTGTGTGAAATTAATGAATCAATTATAAAATAACAATAAGTATTTATTTTAACTTATCATCATAAATTACTTCAATGTTTATACAGTAGCAGATACTAAACACAATCCTCTTTACAAGCTATATTAAATAACAAATAACAAATTTTGTCCCGCGTTATGCTTGAATGTGGTCACCTCATTAGAAAGGAACACACACACTACCATTGGAAGCCCTCTCGCCCGGACCGTTTTTCACGCGATGGTGCACAGTCTAGGTATTATATAAAGTCTTTGCTTCATTCACTTTCACCACAGACTAATAAGAGAACAAGTTATACTAATACTCACTCTTTCTATATATAACAATGTACTCTATGACTCACTCTGTGTGTAGTAGTCTGTGCTTACACTAGAGTTCCACTGAAAATGTGTTGGCGTGGATAAAAGTGTGTGATTTTTTCAATTTTATGATTTCATCATGTCGATAAAAGTAGAACGTGTACCAGAAAATATTAACTTCCCGCTAGAAGAGCAAAAAACTCTTGCGTTTTGGAAAGAAATAGATGCTTTCCAGAACTGTCTGAAGCAATCCAGGAATAAACCCCGGTAAGGTTATGAACAAAAGCCTTTAAATATTTAATTTTTATTTATTTATTAGCAGTTTAATTTTTAACCCGGCGTGAGCACAGTCAAAATAGGCAACAGCGACAGTAGGATTGGGTCGAGAGGACCCGTATAAGAAAACGCCATAATAACAAAAGTTAAAAAAAAATTGGTTTGTGGTTGTATCTGTATAAAACGATAATCGTTATAGGTTTTGAGTAGAAAAAAACACAACATGATACGAAACTATCTTTTTAATGTCATTTTCATAAAAGTGTCACAAAATATTAACAAAATGGACAACCTCTGTCTTAAAGTAATAAAATTAACTTTTTTGTATCACATAAACTAATTTGTTACATGTTAATCAAATCTTTAGTAGACTAATAATATTATACTATTTGTATCAGTCTCATATGCCAGTCATAGTATCCTTATCATCTGCGCAATCTCGGCAGTACAACATTGCATGCTCACTGCAGATGTATTTGCTACAGCTCCAAAAAGTATTATTAGTTTTTCTATCTTTTTTGGCAGAACTGTCTTAGCATCTCTTTCTTACATAAAGTATCTTCACAGGTGGCTCCTCAACAGGTACCTACTCCTAAAAACTCTCTTATTCTTTTGCGCATAAGTCTTGGCAACTGAATGACATCTTTACAATTGCGCAAATGCTCACGAACCATTATAAGGGTTAAGTTTCTTTAGAAATTAGAGTTGCCTTGTCATAGTGTTGTTATTCTTGTTATGTAATATGTACGCATTTATTCCAGACATATTTAGCATGCCAAAAATAACAAAATAAACAATATAAAACAACAAAAAAAAAAATTTTTAAACGGCGCAAAATTACGACACATAGTGTGGTTGGGTTATGGTTGGGTCATATTTACCTTTTTCGTGTTTGGCCGTGTCTATCACTCGCTGGGGCCGCAACACGACTGAATGACGATATCCCACGTGGAGGGGGATCATTAGCCCCAGCTACTGAGAAGTTTTCAAAGTCGCACAAACATTTTAAGAAACACACTCATTTGAAAACTGCTCGGGTCAAATGGAACTGTGCGAACTCCGGGTTTAAACAGCAATATCTTTCATTACTTAAAGAATCTTACTCAATATGATTGTAATGACCCATCCAAAATGCTAAAAAATCAACTTTTTTAAATGGTTTTTTGCGAATATCTAAAAATATGCATTTTATCAAAAAAGAGTAAAATTGTAGCTTTTAAAAAAACGAAAACAATGCATTTTTTATAATTTTTCTATGACAAATAAGAACTAAGATACAGCAAATTAATGCTTAGCTTTTTTCGTCAAATGCATCGATTGGAAGATTTACAGTGAAATAACGAGAAAAATTTGCATTATTTGAAGAAAGCTCATAGAATCTTTTTTAAAGTATTTAATTAGAGCTTTCAAACAAATAAAAAACAATGTCTCTAGCATGAAAATTGACCGACTTATGATCAAAATAAGATTGGTACCGTAGTTTTTCTACAATAAAAATCTGTGAAAACAACCCCTAAAGTACCCCCTAATTAAAATTGATCGCCACCCTTCAGTAATTCTCTTTATATATGTACTATTAATACACCCACGAAGTTTGACCAATTTAAAATGCCAAATTTTAGAAAAATTGGAGTTTAAAGAGAAAACTGTTTTTTTTTCAATTTCGTGTTTTTCACCATTTTCTTATTCTTTAGTGGGGGGGGGGGGGAGGACCTCCCCCTCCCCCCACTAAAGATTTTAGGCGGAAATACATGGTCTTTTTTTTTAAATTAACTTACCTAATAATTCATTAATTTTTTAGGATACAATGACTAGGGAAGTGAGAACCAATGCTTCTGCCTTATCTCCGGCGCTGCGGGAATAGCAGCCTCTCCGCCTTTGCGTGACAAAGTGCATCACTCTCCTTCACACCTTCGGCTTGTTAGCGTCAGGCGCTGCGGGTCGTACGATGCATGCAGCTTTGTCACAGCGGGCTACGGCAGCAGCGGGGGCTACTCTCCCTCCGCGCCTACGGGCTCTAAAAACACTCTAGGGGTAGGGTAGTAGTACCAACATAATCAACATATTTTTACCAAATACAACGAGAAACATGTTATTTTTGCATGAAAAAATGGCAGCACTGATCAAAATGGCTGTCAAAATTGAATAGCCTACAAAAATATTAATTTACAATAAAAAAAATCTCGAGTTCTATTTGTTTCCACAAAAAAAGATTTCTTGTACATGTTTCTAATAATTAATACTTTGCGTGACAAAAATTGCAGCTCGCTACTCAACCACAGCTAATTAGTCCAGGAAATGAGGCTAAGAAAATGGTAGAACCTCGCAATTTTTTCATCCAGCAACAAATTGTACAAAACATTTTGGGATTAGGCTTATTTCACCCTCTAGTTAATTTTCTATATTGTGCTGTTGTATGCTTTTTGTTTTTTAAGGGTAAAAACTACCCCTTATTATCAAAAATTATAAAATAAAATTAAAAACCTAAATATGAGTAAGGGTGATTCTCAGTTAAGAGGTAATCGGTTGTATGAAAGCAGTGGCACAGCAAAAAGTGTCGATATTTATATAGCTATACCACTACTTTTATCAAGACAGATGATTTTAAGATGATCAGTCATTTTTTATATTTATTCTCGTTTTACGAGACACCAGGGGAGGTACCGAGTACAGGATAGAGACAAGATGAACTTTATTGCAATGCGCTTAAGGCGCATATTAGGATGTAAAGTACTTATCCGTGCAATCAGATTTTAGTGGAATAACAATATAAAGCTAAACAATTATCTAAAATTACATGCAATTGTACATTTTCTAATAAATTATCATTACTGTTATTGAGCTATTGCATCGTTTTTATAGTTTTGTTAGTAGCCTGGCACCATAACAGCCAGGGGAAATATGGCAGGGGAGAGACATTTTCGTTAAAAATCTAAAATTGCCGTAAAACTACTAATTTTACAAAGATTACAAATAAATAAAAGGTTTGCAGCACTACTTAAAATAAATGTATATAGATATTGTAGTATTTAAACACATAAATACGAAAAAAAATATACCAGGGTAAATACTTCGATCACTCAACACGGCTGCACTCATCGAACACCGTTGCGCAAATGGCCAAAAAAATTGCCGCGCGGATGGCTTGTGAAGCGCTTGCTGCTAACTTCACGTTACACTCGGTGTCTTCAAGGTCAAAACTACCACAGACTATGGTAAACAAATACGATTATCAAACTAAACCTAAGGCCAGGGGGCAAGACACGAAACTCGGAGGACATAGTTTGCGATTAATATTTTTTATAAAAAGTGCAAATATAAATGAATTTAATGGTTACATACTGTAACTAAGTTATCAGGGCTCATGTTATTACCGATAAAAAAGTAATAATTAAATTTCAATGGACTCAAAATTACTGATTTACAAAAAAATACGGTTACGGGACAACCCAGAGGAGAGATGTTTTTCCTCCTTGTGCTGTTATTGTAAGTAAATTATGCACATTTAGAATATAATTTTAAGTGAAAATTTAGAACACATTTAGTTAATTGAAATTATTAAGATTTAGACCATAATTTCCAAATATAATGATTTTTTGGCTTAGCCATCGAACATACCTCTTAACTGAGAATCACCCGTAAAAATAGTTAAAAAATGCTTGTTTCATGCTTTAAAACTACAATTTAGTACTACATCGTTTTTTTCGAATCTTTAGTATTTTGCGAGATATTTTTAAGAAAGTGGTGAAAAACACGAAATTGAAAAAAAAAACGGTTTTCTCTTCAAACTCCAATTTTTCTAAAATTTGGCATTTTAAATTTTGTCAAACTTCGTGGGTGTTTTAATAGTACATATATAAAGAGAATTACTGAAGGGTGGCGATCAATTTTAATTAGGGGGTACTTTAGGGGTTGTTTTCACAGATTTTTATCGTAGAAAAACGCAGACATTGTTTTTTATTTGTTTGAAAGCTCTAATTAAATACTTTAAAAAAGATTCTATGAGCTTTCTTCGAATAATGCAAAATTTTCTCATTATTTCACTGTACATCTTCCAATTTATGCATTTGACGAATAAAGCTAAATTTGCTGTATCTTAGTTCATATTTGTCATAGAAAAAATATAAAAAACGCATTGTTTTCGTTTTTTTAAAAGCTACAACTTGACTTTCTACACTTTTTTTGATAAAATGCATATTTTTGGATATTCGCAAAAAACCATTTAAAAAAGTTTTTAGCATTTTGGATGGGTCATTAAAATCATATTGAGTAAGATTCTTTAAGTAATGTAAGATATTGCTATTTTAACCCGGCCTTCGCACAGTTCTATTTGACCCGAGCAGTTTTCAAATGAGCGTGTTTCTTAAAATGTTTGTGCGACTTTGCAAAACTTCTCAGTAGCTGGGGCTAATGATCTCCCCTCCACGTGGTATATCGCCATTCAGTCGTGTTGCGGCCTCAGCGAGTGATAGACACGGCCAAACACGAAAAAGGTAAATATGACCCAACCATAACATTGGTGGAAACAAATAGAACTCGAGATTTTTTTTTATTGAAAATTAATATTTTTGTAGGATATTCAATTATGACAGCCATTTTGATCAGTGCTGCCATTTTTTCATACAAAAATAACATGTTTCTCGTTGTCTTTGGTAAAAATATGTTGATTATGTTGGTACTACTACCCTACCCCTAGAGTGTTTTTAGAGCCCGTAGGCGCGGAAGGAGAGTAGCCCCCGCTGCTGCCGTAGCCCGCTGTGACAAAGCTGCATGCATCGTACGACCCGCAGCGCCTCACGCCAACAAGCCGAAGGTGTGAAGGAGAGTGATGCATGTGACTTTGTCATGCAAAGGCGGAGAGGCTGCTATTCCGAAAATAAGGCAGAAGTACTGGTTCTCACTTCCCTAGTCATTGTATCCTAAAAAATTAATGAATTTTTAGGTAAGTTAATTTCAAAAAGAAAGACCATGTATTTCCGCCTAAAATCTTTAGTGAGACTTCCCCCTTCCCCCACATCAAAACTACCCCGAAATTCAACCACAGCCAATGGAATTAAGTACCAAACCTATTTTTATAATCATATAAAATTTTCCTTTCCTTATTATTAAATTTGACATTGCGGTTTGGTTTCCTACAATGCAAGGAGATGGCGCTGCCTTGCAGCTTAAGAAAGGCTAGACAGAATTCGACGCGACCATCAGGGCCGCGGTAGCATAATGGTCAGTGCATTTTCCCGGATAGCGAAGGATGCGGGTTTGAGTCCCGTCTGCTGCCTGGTCTGTGTGGATTTTTTTCTAGTTATATTTTCTTTATACTTAAATTGTTTTGTTAAAGAAAAATATGGAGTTATATGAAAGTATTATATAGTTAAAAATGAGACTAAAAGTATTGTTGCAAATGGGTACTCTTTATGTCTATGTATAGGTAGTCTTTTCCTACTTTGTTTTACTTGATGTTTATAAAAATATGTATAAAATATGCTATCAAAGATTTTGATTGTGCTCATACACAGTAGTTGAACATTTATTTTAATTAAAATATATATATTTGTTGTGTTTACAGGTATACATTTTATGATGGACCTCCATTTGCAACAGGCTTGCCTCATTATGGTCATATCCTTGCTGGAACTATTAAAGATGTAGTTACAAGATATGCTTATCAACAGGTAAACTACATTACAAATGAGTTTATAAAAAGTCTGTTTTAGTTTCTCCAGAAGTTTCAAAGGTCAGGTTATCTATTTTTTTTAATTATAAATGATGCTTTCAAAATTGCATTTTATAAATAAGAATATTGTAAGCCAATACATTGTTTATATTTTATTTTTCCATTGTATTTTGCCAGGGATCGTATTAGTCCCTGAATCTTTCTAAGTGTGGAAAGTTTGTTAAGATGGAATAAAAAACCTTTTTGTTTTTAGTTGATTATTGGACACAGAATGCTCAACTTAACTTTAGACCTGTATTGGTATAATTAATATAATGTGAATTATGGCCATGGAAATGGAAATCTATAGAAAAGCTAAAAAAAGGATCTTGAGTAAAAATCTCTTACTTGAACTGAGTTGCACCTGCTCTCATCCATGTGGATTTTATTATTTTCTTGCCATCTTTGTTCTTCTAATTCCTAATATTTACTCAAATTATCTAGGGTAGACTATAGAAAAGCTAGAAAAATTTCATCTTGAGTAAATATCTCTTACCTGAACTGGGCTGAAGCTGCCACATGGACTATGGCTTCAATCACTTTTTTGCCATCTTTGTTCTTCTAATTCCGTATGTTTCTTAAATTAGCCAGGGTAGACTATATATATATATATATGTCGTAGCCATATCGTAGATTTGCTCACTTCATAAAATGCTCGAGAATTTCATGAAATGGTCACATTTCATGATGTGGGCAACTTGATTTGACCAGATCATTCAATCGTCAACATTTAACGATTTGGTCATCCACATTTGGCCGGATCGTATAATTAGGGTGTCCATAAAATATTTATTAAAAATCTATTAGATCTAAAATCTAAAACTGAAAGAACTTCTATATTGTTATTTAAGTCCGAATGACACAAACTAATTTTATAATTTTTTTGTAACAAAATAACTGTTCTTCCAGATCCCAAACGGTAATACTTCATACTAGGTTAGGGTAATGTTGTGACCATAACGCGCGAGCCGAACGAGCAAAGCGAGCGTGCCGCGGCAGCGGCCGGCGAAGCGCCAGAAAAAAACTCTTTTAAAAGAGACCTTTCTACAAAAGAAATTCAAGTATCACCACCTCTTGGGCCCTGGAAGTACAGTTTACAGTATATCTTTGTAGGGCATTGATTCTCATCCACACTTTGTACCTCAACCGCAGTTACCAAAATGTCATATTTTAACAGCTAGTAATAGTCCATAGATTTCTTTTGCATAGTCACCCTACTACACTCCTTAATTTGTTTCGTCGAAAACCCTTTTGTTATAACTTTCTTCCTCATTAAATAATGAATTATGCACTTTTTCACTGCGAGAAAAAACATTGTCGGCAGCGGCCGCCATATACATATATAAACAAAGCGCTTGCAGCGCCTCTCCGGTAATTAATGTAAATACTTTACAATATGATCAAATAATTTTTGCCATTTCATGAAGTAGCCACGCGTTTAGTTGGCCATATCGTGAAACGATTTCTCATCATTGATCTGCCCAAACCACATCATGATGTGGCCAATAGATAGTGAAACATTTCATGAAATGCGACCATTTCATGAAGTGAGCATATCTACGAAATGGCCGCGACATATATATGTATAATTGATTGGCCCTTTAAGTGGAATTCTTCATTTGTTTGTCTGTAGTAAAATCATTATTAGTTTTCTATTGAATATGGTTCCACAATTCTATTAAATAGGGGGTTAATCAAAATAACAGGGCGACATTAGTATAGGTTATAGTGATTTTTCTAATGTAATTGTTAGACTAGACTATGATCAAATGAAATTTTATGTTTCCCATCTGTATATATTTAACTTTAAAATGATTAGTTTACTATTAATGCTGCAGATAGAACAATGAGTGAGTGATTTCAAAAAATTTCAGGGTTATCATGTAGAAAGAAGATTTGGTTGGGACTGTCATGGCTTGCCCGTTGAATTTGAAATTGATAAGACCCTAGGAATTAAAGGACCTGAAGATGTTGAGAAAATGGGTATAAAAAATTACAATGCTGAATGCCGAAAAATAGTAATGAAATATGCTTATGAGTGGGAAACAATTATAACTAGAATGGGTCGTTGGATAGGTAATTTCAGTAACAGGTTTATATTAATATTAAGTTAATGTATTTATATATAAATATTAAATTATTAACCATTCATTTTACAGATTTCAAGAATGACTACAAGACACTTTACCCTTGGTTTATGGAATCAGTTTGGTGGGTCTTCAAGGAGCTATACAATAAAGGATTAGTGTATCAAGGAGTTAAAGTAATGCCATTCTCTACTGCCTGTTCAACACCACTTTCAAATTTTGAATCTGGTCAAAATTATAAGGATGTGGTTGATCCAGCTGTAGTGGTTTCTTTCCCTACTAATGATGGTTTTGCAATGCTTGCATGGACAACAACTCCTTGGACTCTTCCAAGTAACTTAGCGCTTTGTGTAAATCCAAAATTGGTATATTTAAAGGTCAAAGAAAAAGCAACAGGAAATTGTTATGTTTTACAAGAGAATCGTTTTCCTGTCATTTTTAAAAATACGGATGATTTTATTATACTTGAGAAATTTCCTGGTGAAAAATTAAAAGGCATTAAATATACACCAGTATTTGATTATTTTGTGAAACAATGCCCAAACGCTTATCATGTTTTAGTAGATTCTTATGTCACTGACGACTCTGGTACAGGAGTGGTACACCAAGCACCATATTTTGGTGAAGACGATTATAGAGTTTGCCTTGCTGCTGGAGTAATAACAAGAGATCAAGAAATAATTTGTCCAGTTGACGCAAGTGGCAAGTTTACTCAACCTGTTAGTGATTTTGTTGGACAACATGTAAAAGATGCTGATAAAAATATCATAGCCAATTTAAAGGCTCGTAACCGATTGGTACAGTTGGGGCAAGTGAAGCATAGTTACCCATTTTGTTGGCGTTCCGAGACGCCGCTTATATACAAAGCTGTACCATCTTGGTTTGTGCGAGTTGAGCAAATAAGCCAAAATCTTCTAAAATCTAGCGAGGCTACTTATTGGGTTCCTGAATATGTCAAGGAAAAAAGATTTGCTAATTGGCTCAAGGATGCTCGTGATTGGGCTATAAGTAGAAACAGGTACTGGGGCACTCCCATTCCCCTGTGGATGTCTAGCGACAAGCAGGAAGTTGTATGTGTTGGAAGTATTGCCGAATTAGCAGCATTGACTGGAAAGGAAATAACAGATTTACACAGGGAAAGCATTGATTACCTCGAAATTCCTTCTTCGCGGCCTGGTTATCCACCATTAAAAAGAGTGGTAGAAGTCTTTGATTGTTGGTTTGAATCAGGATCTATGCCATACGCACAGTTCCATTACCCATTTGAGAACAAAAAAGAGTTTGACGATATTTTTCCAGCAAATTTTATTGCTGAAGGAATTGATCAAACTAGGGGTTGGTTTTATACCCTGATGGTTCTGTCAACAGCTTTGTTCAATAAAGCGCCGTTTAAGAATCTTATAGCCAATGGTTTAATTCTGGCATCGGATGGACAAAAGATGTCTAAACGAAAAAAGAACTATCCAGATCCTCTTGAAATTGTTAATAAATATGGCGCTGATGCTTTGAGGCTGTACCTAATAAATTCTCCTGTAGTGAAGGCGGAAAATTTGCGGTTCAAAGAGGAAGGAGTTAGAGACGTCATCAAAGACGTATTTTTGCCATGGTATAATGCTTTCAGATTTTTAATGCAAAATGTAGAGAGAATAGTACAAGAAGATAAAATAAACTACAGTTTTAACGAAAATGCTGTCCGTGAAAATGTTATGGATAAATGGATTACATCATTTACACAATCTTTGATTATTTTCGTTAAAAAGGAAATGGCCGCATACAGATTGTACACAGTAGTACCAAGATTGACCAAATTCATTGATCATCTCACCAACTGGTACGTGAGAATGAATAGAAAGCGATTGAAGGGGGAAAGCGGCATTAAAGATTGTCAAGTAGCTTTAGACACCTTGTTTGGAGTACTCCATGATATGGTGAGAGTGATGGCACCATTCACTCCTTTCCTCACGGAATTGATGTATAAAACGTTACGTCAATTATTACCTGGAACCTCACTCGACAGTGTTCATTATAACATGCTCCCTGACCCTAAATCAAACTTGGTGAATACTGATATAGAAAGGGCAGTACAAAGGATGCAAACTGTCATTGAGTTGGGAAGAGTGCTAAGAGATAGAAAAACTATTCCAATTAAGTACCCTTTGCCTGAAATGATTGTTATTCATCAAGATAAGTTATATTTGGATGATGTGAAGTCACTGGAAAATTATGTACTTGAAGAAATGAATGTGAAAAATGTAAAATTAACCAGTGACAAAGTAAAGTATGGAATTACGCTAAGAGCTGAGCCAGATCATAAAGTTCTTGGAGTTCGATTGAAAGGAGACTTTAAAGCAGCCACCCAAGCTTTAAAAGATCTCACTAATGAACAATGCGAAAAGCTAGCAGCTGATGGCTTCATAAATCTGGTTGGTCACCGTATTGATATATCTGAAGTTAGACTGATTTTCCAAGCTTCCGGAAACGACCAATACGAAGCTCATAGCGATAATGATGTGTTGATTTTGTTAAATGTAACCCCAGATCAAGACATGCTTGATGAAGGATTTTCTAGGGAAATCATTAATAGAGTTCAAAAATTACGAAAGAAAGCACATCTAGTACCCACAGATGAAGTCGACATTTACTACTCTGTAAATAAAACAAGCGATATTGTACGCATCATTAATTTACATAGAGACTTCATTGAAAACACGGTTAAGGGTCCACTTATACCCATTGAAAAATTATCAAAATCTAAACCAGTAATAATAGAAGAGACACAAGAATTAAAGGGTTCACAATTGAAGTTGGTTATAACTTGGAGAAATGAAATTGAATTACCAGCAAATCCTTGGGCTAATATTATTCTGCATGGTATCAAACCACGATTTGGTGCGGCAAGTAATCAGGCTAGCATAATTCTGAAAGATAAAGATCATAAATTTATAACTCCCGATAAATTATACCGAGAAGTGCAGATCTTGTTTGGTCTTTATGGTGTCAAATTTACCTTGTGGTGTGATGGTTCTGAAATTAGTGACACTAGGGATTTGAATTCTAAAACTATTGTGGCCGCACAGTCACTACCAAAAGAAAGCGTATGTAATTCAAACCCTTTTTGCAAATTCGTCAACATTGAAAATGGTACAAAAAGTTTTACGTTATTCCTAGAAAATCCCTCAGGAAATGATACATTGAGCACTGAAAGTGCTACAAAGTTAGTTTCTGATCTTTTTGGAATAAATACTTCTGACCTAAATAAAACAGAAAAAAAATAGGTATCTGCAATTTAATTGCAAAAAGTATATGCTTCATTTCATGGCAGTATTGTTTGGTGTCTATGTAACTATTTTCTTCTAATTTATTCTTTAAATAAAATAAATAGGAAATAATTACCTAATATAGTCTTATTCATTTTGAATCTCTTCCTTTCTACCTTCTTGCACTGCTAGTCTATACCGAATAAAAAGATAGTTGAGAGAGGTATGGCCAGGGATTTTGCCACCAGGTGACGGCGCGACTTCATCACTGAAATGATAGGTAGTACTCCCTACCTAATACACTTTTTAATCATAAATTGCTTTTGATAGATTAAATAACCACAGGATTGGAATAGTATTATTTTTTCTTCCATGTTGGGCCCAAAATCGAGAAAAATCTCACGCCAAACTTCTTGAGCAAAACCCTACGACGACCTCCGTGACCGAGTGGTTAGCGCGCTGGGTTTCATGGTGTCGCCGACCCGATGATGACTACGAAATATTTCTATATAAATACAAGCGGTCCGCCCTCGCTTCGCTTCGGTGTAGAGCTGAAGTGTAGACTACAGTTTTTGTTCTCAGGCTTGTATTATAGACAATGAAATTCATCTATGATTCTTCTTATACCTGCATGCAAAGTCTCAGCCCGATCGGTTTAAAATTGACAGTTTCATACAAACTTTCATTCCCTATTTTATCAAAAGTAGAATTGATAAAAATCCTTTCTTAGCGGATGCCTACGTCATAACATCTACCTGCATGCCAAATTTCAGCCCGATCCGTCCAGTGGTTTGGGCTGTGCGTTGATAGATCACTATGTCAGTCAGTCGCATTTGAGTTTTATATATTCATGTTGAATTGGTTGTTTTACGACTCAAATTCACCTTTGAGTTTTATATATTCATGTTGAATTGGTTGTTCTACGACTCGAATTGGCCCCTTTACGTCTTTTTGGCATTGTTGATTGTACATGGAACATAGGGGGCGTCCGTAAATTATGTGAGATGTTTAAGGGGGGGAGGAGGTCGAGTCAAATCTCATCTAATCTTACGTTGGAGAGGGGGGTCTCGGCAAATATCACGCAATATTTTTTTCTGATTGAAACAAAAAAAATATACTATTTTGCTACATTTAGTCCAGATTGTACATGCTTAAGATTTAGACTCAGCAATATTGATTATTATTAGTCTTAAATAAAAGTACGAAGCAATTTTTTTTTCTTTTTACAATAACAATCCAACGCATTTACCTAAGAAACCCCACATTATGAAAAATCTCACGTGAGATTGGGGGATGGGGTAGGGAGTTGTATAAAATCTCACGACATCTCATCTCAGGGAGGAACAGAAAATTCAAAAAAACACTCAATTTATGGACGCCCCCATATAAATAAATGAAGTTAAAATACTTACACAGATAGAAAGATTTTTTTATATTTGATAAGCTTTATCAACTGTTAATAAATAATTATTCAACATCATAGGATCTAATGAATATTTAATAATAGTTAATAAATTATTTATTAAATACGATTTATTTAATGTTACATTAACTATTAATAAATGTACTTTATTCCCAAATAAATATTTATTGAATGTAAAAAAATATTTATTAAAGTTGTCTTCAAAGAAATTAAAATATTAATAGTTAATAAATCCTTCCATCAGTGTATTGGTAAAGAACAGTGACTTAATATATAGCTTAAGAGCCAGTGGACGGCTACCTGTATGTATTTGACCAGACCTGGGGTTTTGTACAGTGAGGCCCCTATACCTACCATATATGAGATGGGGGTTCGCTAAGCCCCAACTGGTGGACGCGGCGCGCGCTCAGGTAAGACAGGTATCGATTTTTGACGAATTTGAAATGCATTTGACCACGTCTGCCGTTTTGATATTTGAAAATATATTATTATTATTATCTAAAAATAACAATGGCAGACCATTATCGCGCGTTTAGCAAAGTGTCAGACAGTTATAAGTGTTGGAAAATAGTACATTACGATACGCGTGAAAAAACATTAATTATAAAATAAAAATAATTGGAAAAGTGATACGAACATATTCGATAAAAAAATTGATTATTATGAACTTACCAGGGACTTCGGTGATTAAGTCACTCACAGAAGTTGGGAGTTGATCACCTTCGAACCATTTGAATACAGATTTGTCGTCCTGCTTAATCCAACCGTACTCTAATGGGACCAATGTGGTAGGTTGCTTCTTATAAGCATTTCTCCAAACACTTAAATATAATGAGCTCTTAGAAGTTGCTGGTAAAGCTCACTCTTACACGGTGGTATTGAGCTTGCATCAAAATTCAGTATTTTTTTAGTGAAATTTTCATTCACGTCGGAAGCTTTATAATTGTTGAGGAAAAGTTGGTACCTTCCATCATCAACGTCAATAGATTTTTTAGCATTATAGAGCTGTCAAATAAACTTCTGAATACTATTAAATACCTCTGTTAACTGTTCATCTGTCAAATATTTCGTGCCAAACACTCCAAGTAACATTAGAATGCGTTACACCCATATTCTAATGTAAAAAAAGGAATATTAATACAAAAATAAGACGATAGCTGCATGGCTTTGCCTTTCTCAACAGAGAAGAATAGAACTAAAAAAAACAGCAATAGTATTTTGTCTGATTAATTAATTTGTTTTCTTTCGAATCCCTTGAGAGCAGCCTAGATGTGGACGATCTGAACAACACGGTGGTAGATAATGTCCGTACGGTAGGGTCCAAGTATTTTAGAGCCCGCCGTACCAAAATTAAGAAACTCTCTGACAAAACTCTCCTACTCATGGAACAGCGGAACGAAATGAGACTACAGAATTCAGGAGATGCAAGTCAGTACCGGCAGCTAAATAGACAGATATTACAGTCCTTGACGAGCGATCTTCGCTGATTTAATACACATTGTATCAAAGAGGCTAACGAGCGCAACAAAGGCTCCAAAGTGTTCGCGAGAGATCTGTCTATTGGGCAAAGCCAATTGACAAAGCTGAAGACTGACAGCGGTAGCATCATTTCGTCTAAGGCTGAAATCCTGAGGGAGAATCAGAGTTTCTATGGACAGCTATATTCCACCTGTATAGCACCTGTTGAAAGCAAGGCTAGAGACCCCAGAGCCAAGCTTACTCGACACTACACTGAAGATATCCCGGACGTCAGCCTGTATGAGATTAGTATGGCTCTCAAACAACTTAAAAACAACAAGGCGGCGGGCGATGATGGAATCACAGCAGAACTTCTGAGAGCGGGCGGTAAGCCGATACTTAAAGTCCTCCAGAGGCTTTTCAACTCCATCATCCTTGAAGGCAGAACGCCAAAAGCATGGGCCAGAAGTGGGGTTGTCCTGTTTTTCAAGAAAGGTGACAAAGCACTCTTGAAAAACTATCGACCAATCTCGCTTCTTAGCCATGTTTATAAGTTGTTTTCGAGAGTCATTACGAATCGTCTCACACGCAGGTTTGACGACTTCCAACCTCCCGAACAAGCCGGTTTCCGCAAAGGCTTCAGTACCATAGACCACATTCATACGCTGCGGCAGGTTATACAGAAGACCGAAGAGTATAATCTGCCAATTTGTTTGGCGTTCGTGGACTATGAGAAAGCTTTCGATTCGATTGAGACCTGGGCGGTGTTACAGTCTCTCCAAAGGTGCCAAATAGACTACAGGTATGTCGAGGTATTAAGGTACCTCTACGAAAACGCCACTTTGTCAGTCCGATTACAGAACCAGAGCTCCAATCCTATCCAATTGAAGCGAGGCGTGAGACAGGGAGATGTGATATCTCCGAAACTGTTCACAGCTGCATTGGAGGATATTTTTAAGCTTCTGGATTGGAAAGGACGAGGCATTAACATCAATGGCGAGTACCTTTCGCACCTTCGTTTCACCGATGATGTAGTTCTTATGGCTGAGACCTTGGAAGATCTTAACACGATGCTCAAAGATCTTAGTAGTGCTTCCCAAAAAGTGGGTCTTAAGATAAACATGGAGAAGACGAAAATTATGTCGAATGCCCATGTAGTACCCGCCCCAGTTAAAATTGGGAACACTACACTCGAAGTTGTCGACTGTTACGTCTACCTAGGACAGACAGTCCAGTTAGGTAGGTCCAACTTTGAGAAAGAGATCATTCGTCGTATCCAGCTCGGATGGGCAGTGTTCGGGAAGCTACGAAAAATATTCGCGTCCAAATTACTTCAGTGTCTCAAGACAAAAGTCTTTGACCAGTGTGTGTTGCCAGTGATGACCTACGGAAGCGAGACGTGGTCCTTTACTGCGGGTCTTATAAGAAGGCTCAAGGTCACGCAGCGAGCAATGGAGAGAGCGATGCTTGGTGTTTCCCTACGCGATAGAGTCAGAAATGAGGAAATCCGTAGGAGAACCAAAGTTACCGATATCGCTCAAACGATGGCTCTGCTGAAGTGGCAGTGGGCGGGACACGTAGCAAGAAGAACCGATGGCCGTTGGGGCGGAAAGGTTCTGGAATGGCGACCACGCACCGGACGACGCTCTGTGGGTAGGCCCCCCACAAGGTGGACCGACGATCTTGTGAAGGTCGCGGGAAGCCGATGAATGCGAGTGGCGCAGGACCGATCGGTGTGGAGATCCTTGGGGGAGGCCTATGCTCAGCAGTGGGCGTCATACGGCTGACATGATGATGATGATGAATTAATTTGTTTTAACGTATATTGCTGTGTTTTTAGTTCTTTATATATTTAGGTATTTGCTATATTTATTTATTATAATGTCTGATGATGATGATTCTTTTCATTCCGCTCACAAGTTCCCTTCAAAGTCTCATCATCAATATATTTTATACACTGTATTATTTATTTAAATGTATTCTATGCATGTATATTTAGGTTTATTTTTAAATAAATATTTATGTAAGTAGTTACTTTTACTGTGTATGTTTATAGTAAATCACTTTTTTTATTATAGCCGTATTCGTGGATTTCTTTATGCCTAAAGGTTGTCTGGTAGAGAATGCTTTTAGCGTAAAGTTCGCCTTTTGTCCATTTTTGTAATTGTGGCAATAAAGTTTAAATAAATAAATAAAAACCGTTAGGGTGGGGATATAATTG